TGTGAAATCAAGGATATTGTTTTTATAACTGCTCTGAGGTAAACCATGCAGGATGATTTGGATTTGTATGTTGAACTGAAACCAGAGCCTGAACTAACTGAGCATTGTGCCTTTGAATTTGCACTGAAATCTGAATCGCACTGGGTGATGTTCTTTGTCTCCTTTACTCTCCAACTTACTTCGCTAAGAAATCCCCTTCCCAGTAGCACAGCTGTGAGTCAGCAATGAATAGACAAAGCTCTTGCTGCTGTTGTGGCTCCAGAAACTGCATGGGACTGGACTCCATTCTCTTCATCTAGTTTCTGCTCTTGAGCTGTAAGGCGCTGTAATAGTTTCATTCCCTCTGGCTCTTTCTATGTCCCCATAACCCATTTTCTCCTCTGTGTAGCCCATAACCTTAGCAATTACTTGTTATGCATCAGAATTACTATCATCAGATGATAGAAAAAAAGTTGATGACTTTGAGCTGTTCTGCTAGCGAAGAGTATTGAATATACCATGGACTGCCAGTAGAACAAACAGATTCATCTCAGAAAGGGTAAAACCAGGAATCTCCTTTTAGGCAAGGACTCTGAAGCTTCATCTGCCATGCTTTAGACATGTTGCAAGGAGGAACCAGTTCTTGGAGAGGGACATCATGCTTGAGAAGGTGGAGGGATAGACAAAGAGAGGAAGACCCTCAATGAGATAGATTGATTCAGTAACTGGGATTGTGGGGATAGGAGTGTCAGAGTAATGAGATTGTCACAGGATAGAGCAGGGTTTAGGACTCTTGTATACATCGGGTGGCTATGAGTCACAAGCAAATAAACGACAGTGATATATGACAGTGACTTAGCCCAAGGAGGAATGTTGCCATGCTCAGCTGTGCTTTTCAAAAATCCTGCTTCCTAGCAGTCCCACCCTCATGTCCCTTCTTCTCCCCCAGCAGATCCAAGCCTGCAGGTGCAATGTCGAGTCTTCAGATACCCAATCACATAGATTGCTCCTAATATCTTAATCCTTTTCTTGTAAGATTAAATTTACATTTTTGACTACTAACAATCCTCTTTTTCTTTTTTCTTAATTCTTTTCCTGGAATGTAATTCATATTCAGCATCGTATTTTTTGCCCGAGTTGATGCAGTAGGAATTCGTAAAGTTGCTCTCCACTTGTCAAATAAAGATCCACATTCCTTAGTTCACTGATCCCTCCCATATTCTACAAAGCCCTGAAGGTATTAATCTTTTCTTGACATTCTCATTCTCCCTTTTCTCTTTAAGCCAATCTCTTTTCAAATGTCCTAATTTTCCACAGTAGTAACATTTGATTTTCAACAAATATAACGTTCTTTTTAAAGTAGCTACTAATAAATTGGCTTGACAATAATTGTTCCAATGTCCATATAAGCATGTATATATTCATATAAGTGAGCCTTCTGAACTTTCAATGGTCTAATGGCCTTTTGACATTCTGAATTAGTATTTTTGTATGTTTAAGTTTTTAACAAAAACTCAGGAACCTCAGGTTGAGATATTTCTCTGGTAATAGCATCCTGTAATCTAGTTGAAATTAGTATATTTTACATTTTCAGATTGTGTTTTTCTGGGAAAGGATTGATCTCCCTTTCCTCAAATTTCCACTTTATCCCATGCTTGCATGCAACAAAGTCTTACTCGCACATCACAGCATCATCTTCTTGTAACTGAGCTTGCACTCCAAGTCCTTGACCTCTCATTGATCAGTAAGAACATTAAGAGGAGGATTTCTAGATAAAGTTAGCCTTCCCATATTTGTAGTTTCATCAGCCCACAAAGGTCTAAAATGTAAATATGCCCAAGATTCCAAACCTGTCCTGACCAGGGACTCACTATCATAAGGAATTAATCTAAATTCTGTAGCTATGCCCTGTAGTATTCCCTTTACACAGGTAGAATAGATGCCATAAGAAACTATGGCCTGTTTTAATTCTTTAATAGTGTTATAAGATAAGGATGAGGTTGATACAATTGATACCTGTGGAGAAAAACTGCATCAGGAGGTATATCATGAATTGTTACTGGACATACAGATAAATTAATTTATCTAATTAGGTAAATCACCTTGTTTTGCTTGTTTCAGGGCCATAGACATAACTGTTAAAAGTTTCTTAAAAGTCATTACTCCCAATGTAGCATAATTAATATAATTAAATAACATAGAACCTGCAACTCTTGCTGCTGCTGGAGCTGTATTTCTATTTTGGTAATAGATTTCATTATGCAAAACTACTTTGTCTATTTTACTAGAAAGTTCTAAAACTGAATGACATTGTTCCTCAAAGGATGGTTCTCTTGAATGATATTGCTCAATTCATCTGGAGTTGGAGGTTGAGGAAATTCATCCTCCTTTGAATCAGATTCACTATCACCTTCATTTAAGAAGATTTTTCCTTCTAATTTATCAGACATATCCTCTATAGACTGTTTTGTTTTTAAAGTGAATGGGATCAAATCAACACACTTGGTACCAACAGTCAAGAAATCAAAAGTCATGCTGCATTGGGGAAAGATGTTATCAGAAACCTTTGATATGATCTTGTGATACAGAACAAGGTGTTAAGGAGCAATGATGTCAGTATAAAGATTGGGGTGCACTTGATTAAATCATTATAGTTTTCGTTATTTGCTATGCATATGAAAATGAAACAATGAATAAAGATGATGAAAGAATTGATTCATTTGCCTTGTGATGTTGGAGAAGAGTTCTGACTATCCCATGGATTGGAGAAAGAACAACCATGTTTTGGAGAAAGAGCAAGCAGGGTTTTCCTTAGAGACAAAGATGGTGGGACATCATCTCTCTGGGCACGTTATTAGGAGGAATCTGCCCCATCATTCTCCCACGGAGCAGTTAGTGGTTTCAAGCTACTGGCCTTTTCATTAATAGCTCCACACTGTGGCATTGCGCCACCAGGTCTTGTTAGGATCTTTTCAGGGAATAGTAAATATTATGGTGGTCCAACCAAAAGGCTGACTGTTCTGAGGGAGAAAGATCTGGGACACACTTTTGTAACAATTCTTGTTCTTAGGTTCCTCTGAGTCAGTTTGCTTAACATGTGTCATTTTTTTTATCAGTTGTGTTGGCTGGTCCTGCACCATTCTCAGAACTGTTGCTGTTCTACCTCATCGTTGCCTAGACAGCATCACTCTGCCTCACTGAGCGTCTTTCTCTACACACGGGTCCCTCCTGATAACGTGTCCAAATGTTTATGAGATGAAGTCTCACTACCCTTCTTTCTAAAGAACATTCTGATGGTCCCTCTTACAGGACATTTTCTCCATCACCTCTTTCAAAGATGTAATCGACTTCATTCCTGTGTATTCTACCCAGCAACATCTATGCATATAGTAGCCATTTAGGTCATTAAAAAATATATCGCTAACAAATACATAAATGGTAGCTAAGAAAACCTGTGTCAAATGGAATATTATGAGTTGAAATTGGCACATTATCAACTGACAACACAACAACAACTAAATACTCTGGATAATAAATGAAGCCGATATACAGGAAGTGCTGGGTAGGGTCTTGTGTTACACAGTGTATGAGCTGCCAACTGCCTTTGTAACAGATCACCAAATATGTAGTGGTTTCACAGAAAACAAAACTTTGATCTTGTAAACTCAGAGGTCAGAAGCCTGAAATAGATAGCTGGAGCTTTATTCTTTTAGTGGCTGCACGATGGATAGATGTCCTTGTGTTTTCTACTGTCTAGAGAGTTCCTACTTTCCTTGGCTTATGGTTCTGCATGGTTCTCTGATCTTAGTCCTTGTTCACATTTCCTGCTCTGACTAATGCTGTATCCAGGGCACTGACTCGAGGGAAGGCTTTCTCTCTCCAGAAGCTCTACGGGACATCCTTGTCTCTTTCCAACATCTATAGGCTCAGCATTCCTTGGAGATCTGTACAACTTGACATCGGTCTTCCCCTGGGTCTAGAAGGTTCAGGGATTCCTAGTCCAAAGATGCACTCTGCTCCCAACTCTTCTTTCTGGTGGGACCTCCTTCTCTGCTCAATTTCTCCTTTAATCTCTTGTTAAATAAGACATGACACAGACCAAATACAGGGAAGCACCCCTTACAAGGCTGTGACCTGAGTGAGGGGGCTATAACTCACCCCAGTCCTCTTACACTGGGGGATCATATCAGCTCATCAAGGAAGATGACTACATCATTGCTTAGCTGCTGCACCACTGGAAATCACAGTCCATCCACACTGATATGTATTTGGGGGGATACAATTAAATCTATGTCTCCCTTTTATAGGAAGGAGTCCTTGTGATTACATCTCTATATAATCCAGAATAATCCCCCGTACCAAGAACCTCACCTTAATCACATTAGCAGAGTCCCCTTTGCCTTGCATGCAGGTTCTAGGGATTATGACAAGGATATCTTTGAGGGGCATTATTCTACTGGCCAAGATAGATACTTAGGGCCGCCCTCCCTTTGAGTTGGACATAAATGAAATAAATGCAGACAAGCCTTTGGACATTCTCTCATCTTCAAGGCCTTGCTGTTCCACATTCTCATAGAGAAAACTTTCAATTCCAGCTCCCCCAGCCCTAAGTCTCTCTCCTCCAGTCCCCAGGAACAAAACTAATCCCAGGAGAACAGCAATTGGTTGTGTCTTTGTCTTCTTTGTCCCTGTCATCGCAGCTTTCAGAGGACAGAGCCCAGGTCTGAGAACCTAGTGGATTCGCATTTGTGTGTACTGAATCAAAGGAGGAAAACTCTGGATTTCAATAATTTTTTTAAATAAAGTAATGTAGATTTTCACATTCACATTTCACTGTCCAACATTGTGGGACAAAAAGGGGGGGGAGAATCCCTCTTTCAGAAGAGAAAACTGAGTCTCAGATAGGTTAAAGTCACTGGTCTGAGGTAGCCCAGCAACACAGCAGCAAAGTCGGGGACTTGAATCCAGGCCAGCATGGTCTCGTGAGCATCTCTGTGGGGATGCTGTTAGGAAGGACATCACTACTTGAAGGGAGTGACAGGGAAAACGGTAGTAGGACTCCATTCACTTGGCTTCCCATAGCCCAAGTGATGCTGGGCGTTGACCTGGATGCAGTACGTGCGCTTCCGAAGCGTCGCCTTGATCCTTAAGGTGGTGGCTTCAGTGGGATCTCCCTTGGAAAAAGAAAGGGAATGGAAGACTTCAACAGCAGACAGCAGAGCATGAGGCAGCTTTCTGTCCTCCCTCTATGGATGGGATCTGGCCTCATTCCAACCAGCACTACACACACACACACACACACACACACTCACTCACTCACTCCCCCCTTGGGCCCTTCCCTTTCTAATCAATTCACCCTCCAGTGTCCACCTTCACCCGCACATCTCAGCTGTACTTGAACCCATTGCTGCACCCACTGTGTCTATCCGTGTCAGTGAGGGTCTTCCTCATTTTGCTGACCCTCTGCTTTTCACACGTGATGGCCTTCTCCAAGGAATCGCCCTTCATGGTATCATTCCCGAAGTGTGTGAGATGATATCTCACCATTCTTTCTTCTAGGGAAAATTCGAGCTGTACTTATCTCGACACAGATGTGTTCATGCTTTGTTCACCCCACGGTATATTCAATATTCTTCGTCAGCACTCCAGTTCAAATGTGTTGATTCTTTATTCTTCCTTATTCATTGTCCATCTTTCACATGCATAGGGGGCAGTTGAGGTCCCAAGGCTTGTGTCCAGTGCACCTTAGTCCTCAAAGATACAACCTTGTGCCCTATCCCTTTCATCTGTTTCCTGTCTGTATGGGTTTACATACTCTGGATATTTCACATACATGGACTCACACAGCATGCCATCCGTCTTCTGTGTCTGGCTGTTTTCACTTGGCATCATGTCTCAGGCCCCAGCATATATCAGGACCTCATTTCTTTTCATGGCTGAATAGCAATCCTCTGTATAAATGGAGTGCGCTGTGTAAAACCACTCTCTGGTGAATGGACAGCTGGTTGTTTCCACCTGTTAGCCACCATCACGCATGCTCTTCTGAACAGGCACATGAGTGTGTCTGAGTCCTTTGGTTATTGTGAGCACACCCCTGGGAGTAGAATTACTATGAGGGTGCTATGTTGAGGGGGTGAGGCCCTGAAGGAAGACTCATTATCAATGAAGTAAAGTCAGTCAGTGAGAGAGGAGTCACTTAGAGAGATGGGTGGAAAAGGTGCCTGCGAAGATGGGGATGCAAAGCAGGTTGTGAAGAGGTTGCCAGCTTGGGCAGTGCTCAGATCCAACCCCCACAGTAACATGAGAAAGAGAAAGAGCTGCAGTGATGTGGATGACACCATGACTGAGCAGTGAGTTCAAGCACAGCGATGCCAGTGAAGGCGCCACAGGGAGGGCACACACGAGGTCATGATGAGTCAACACCGACGCTATGGCAGAAAGAATTGCAACAAAGGGGGCGTCATGCTTCTGTGCAGACAGACCACCTGCTGATGGACCCTGGGCAGATCCTCCTCCCTCCTGATTCTCACAAAGAGAGCTCCAGGGGACACCGATGTGTGGGGTGTGTTTTCATCTCATGGGTGGACTGCTGGGGGTGAAATTGCTGACTTCTTCTTTTATTTAGGGGTGACTCTAGTCACCTCTAAGTACGCTCAAGCTCTTCCAACCCTCCAGAGTTTACATGTGGTGTCCCATCTAGAGGGGTGGCCATACCCAGCACCACTCCAGGCCCCTTGCTACCCTCCTTCTCGTGCTCCTCACCTGCCGGAAGTCCTTAGACTTGCAGGGCTTGTAGCGAAGCTGGTATTTGAGTGGGATATCCTCTGGATAGGGCCAAGACCTGGGAGCAAACCATTGCACTTCCAGTTCATTCTCAGAGACGGTGCTCACACGGAAGATCACTGGAGGGTCTGGTTTGACTGATGGACAAACAGAAGGCATTCACTCATTCATTCAACCAACCAACCAACCAACAAATATGTACTGAGCAGCCCCTGCCTGTCCAGTGCTGACCCAGACCAGAAACAGAACTAATACTGAAACTACCCCAGCTCTGTCCTCCTGGAGCTGCTAGTTGTCAAAGAGACGGAGAGAAACAGGAGAGGATACAGCGCCTCACACAGAGCCCGCAGCAAAGTTTGGCAGTGGGTTATCGTTTTAAAAACAAATTACATTTTAAAATATATTTTTTTTAAAAAAAAGCTGTCACCCATCCTCCTTCCCACACTCACGGGCGCCCTCTGGCATGCTGTAGGGACACTGAGTCCCCCCTACTCGTCCAAAAGTTACCCTTTTGTAGCATAAAATTCAGGGTATTACGTTCATTCGCGAGGTTGTACAAACATCCCCAGTCAAATTCTAGAACATTTTCATCAGCCGCAAAGGAAATGCAGACCCTCCTGCAGCCACTGCCCACTTTCCATTGCCCTAAGCTCCAGGTAACAGCTAATCACTCTCTGGGTTTGCCTGCTCTGGACACTGTGAGAAAATGGACTCAGCACGTGGTCCTTTGTGACCAGCTGCTCCTCCTCCTCCTCCTCATTCATGGACCAGCTTGTTGCAGAGCTTTCACTCTCTGCATGACTAAGTCACAGTCCACGGGGCAGCTGGACACATCGTGTTTCTCCATCATTTGATAATGGTCATTCAGGTTGCTTCTATACTTTTGGTTTTTATGAGAAATGTTGCTTTGAACATTAAGGTACATACTTGTGTGTGACCCTGTTTCAGTGTTATATTACCACCTCCAGTGAGTCAATTGCTATTGACAACTACCCTTTAGTATGGAGAAAAACTGAAACTTAGGGTTTCCAGAGATGAGACATGATGCCACATCACAGACTAAGGTGCACTTAGCTGACACCAATGTATTTTCAACTGCCACATACGCATGAAAAATTCAGATAATAAGGAATATCAAGGGAAATTGATGCCTTTGAATTATGGGATTGATGAAGAATATTGAATACACCATGGACTGCTAGACGGGAATAGACAAATCTGTCTTGGAGGAGGTGAAGTCAGGGTGCGCCTTAGAGCAAAGATGGCAGGAGACTTCATCTCACAGACTTTGGGTGTGTTATCAGCCAGGACCAGTCCCTGGGAAAGGGCATCAACCTTGGAAAAAAGTCAGTCAGCAAAAGGGAGGAAGCCCCTTAGCAAGGTGGGTTGGAATGAATGACGGATGACTGCGACAATGGGGTGAAGCACAGCGGCGGCTGTGGGGCTGGGTCAAGGCCAGTCACAGTGTCGCTCAGTCGTACATGGGGGTCTCTGCATTAAGGCTGCCTCAACAGCAAATAAAGACAATCGATGATCTAAATTAGCAACACTTTCTCCAGACATGCTGTTGGTGGGTTTGAACCACTAACCATTGGTTTAGCAGCCAGGTCCTTGAGCCACTGTGCTTCAGGGCTCCTTCCGTGCTGTATAGGAGTCTATAATAAGCCTTCCGAGGAACTGCTGACTCTTCCCTAAAGCTCTTGCACCATCTTACTTTCCCACCAGCAGTGGATAAAGCTCGGTAAGTTTTAACACTGTGCTCAGGGAAAGTCCTCCAGAGGAGGTGACACATGAGCAGATACCTGCAGCAAGTGCAGGGGAAGCCAGATGATATCTGTGGGAAAAGCCTTCCTGATAGCGGAATCAGCCTGTGCAAAGTCTCTGTGGCACTATGCGCTGAGCGAGTCAGAGGGAGCAGAGTGAAAAGAGGAGAGAGGAGGAGAGGAGGGCAGGGAGACACAGAGTAGGGAGAGCAGGACTCTTGCATACAGCGAGGACTTTGCGTTTTACCCAGGGGAGGTAGGTGTCCTGGAAGGCTGTGGGCAGAGAACTGGGCCAGATTCCCACGCTCACGGGTGCCCTCTGGCCCCCACAGGGAAAACAGCTTGTGGGGCTATGAGACCAGGGCTGGACCAAATGGAGGAAGAGTGGGGACTAAGTGGGCAGAATTTGTATAGATTACAGAGAGGACAGGATTGGAGGACAGGTCGAGAGAGGTGAGAGGAGCTGGAGCACCCTGGTAACCTCCATCCCCACCCCACATGCCCCCACTCACTGATGTCCTCAGGTACAAAGGGAAAGAGGGTGGTAGTGATGCCGTCAGGATAGATGGCTGTGACATTGAGCAAGTGATGCTCATGGGATAACGGTACGAACTCATTCATGGTGCAGCGGGGGGTGATGGGTGTTGGCTGGATGCAGGTCTTGGTCTCTGCAGAGTGGTCCAGTCCGACCCTGCAAGAGATGGGCTCTGTGAGGGGCTGGGCATCTGAGATGCCAGGGGATGGGGACAAGTGGCTCTCTGCCCTGCTCTATCCTTGCTGTGAGGCACCACTCAGGTGTGGTATGGTATGCTTGTGATGCAGTGAGGGCCTCTGGGTGTGACCTCATTTCATCTCATTTTCCCATTAAATTTCCCATTAAATTTCTCATCTCATTAAATTTTGCCATGGGCTCTTAGCAAGTCCTAAGCCAAAGTCATCACTATTGAGACTATTCTGCCCCTCTGAGATGCTGAAGGACCAGGGTTGAGGTCTGACCCACAGAGATCCTTGAGGACCCTGTCCATCTGCCTCCTCCATGGGTTCCAAGCTCACCACCTGACTTTGAAGATACAAATCATTAAGGGAGGACATTGCTTATCCGTCTTCTTTGGAGCAGCTAGTGGACTTGAACCACTAACTGCTAGTTATCATCTTGACACAGAACACTCTCAAAACACAAAATGAAAAAATATCAAACTCATTGCTAGGAAGATAGAAGGGACTCAGATTTGGGAACCCCCTGCCCCCTATCAGGTCTCTGAGCCTGTAAATTACATGGGAGGAGACTGCTTTTCTTTGACCTTTGGAAACACTGGTGGATTTGAACTTCCAGAGAAGCATGGCTTTTGAGTCAGCAGCTCAAGTCCTTATGGACTACACCACCAGAACTCCAAGTTAGTACTTCTTAAATTATTGAAATACATTTAAAATGTCCTTTGGGATATAATGACCTGTGCATCGGTTACTTCAATGGCAAGTTTTATGAGCTCAGAATAAAACCAGTGGTCAACCACATGTGTTTCAGTACAGAACAGGCCCCACAAGGATCTGAGCAACTGATGGGTCAGAAGTGGATCACCAGGTCTTTCTTCTGATGCGCTTCCAGGGGCACTGGAACCCAACCTGCTCTCTGAACTGTGGGGTCCAAAAGGAGGCTGGTCTCCCCTGTGCACTTCTGACCTGTATGTGGCGATGAATTCAGTGGGCATGGTGGCACTTGAAGCTGAGGAGTATGTCCAGGAGCAATCTATGCTGATTGGGTACCTGGAGGATCGACAGTGTACCTTCAGGAACCGATTTGCTGAGGGAAAATAATTAGCATGTGAGTGAGACTTCGGGGCAACATGCTTTTTAAAAAGCAAAACTTATTGAGGCTCAATTCCTCCTTGTCAGGGCCTTGCTAGTCACATGGCTAGTCACTGTTATGTATCTCTCTGTTGTTTTGTGACATCTTGTTGAAGTGATTAATGTCTTCCCTACATACAACAGCCTAAACCCTTCTCTATCCTGTGCCAATCTTATTGTCTCTGACACACCTACGCCATTATACCAGTAACTGAATTAATCCATTTCATAGAGGGTCTTTCTCTCTTGAGCAGTCTCTAGATTATCCCAAGCATGATGTCCTTCTCCAAGGACTGGTCCCTCCTTGCAACATGTCCAAAGTATGTCAGAAGAAGCTTCAGAATCCTTGCCACCAAGGAGTGGCCTGCTTTCACCCTCTCTAGAAGGAACCTATTTGTTATCCTTTCCCTTAGCAGTTTATTTGATACTCTTCTCCAGCACTATAGCTCAAAGGCATCAATTCTCCTTTTATCATGCCTAGTCAGTGTCCCACTTTTAGTTGCATAGCAAGTAATTGTAAAGACTATGGCCTAGATAGAGGAGGGAATGAGCCATGGGGGCAGAGGGGCATGAGTGCCTCTCTGGAAAAAAAAATCAGAGGGAGTGAGAATAATACAGCCCCTCCCGTCCCCAGAGCAGAAAAAAGTTAAAGAGCCCCTACACCAGCTCCATGGGGTTTCTAAAGCAATAGCATAAGCAAGAGGTTTGTCTGTTCATTGCTGACTCACAGACTCACAGTTGTTTTACTGAAAAGGGGGGTTATTAGGGAAATAAGTTGGAGAGTAGAGAAGGCAAAGAATATCACCCAAAGCAAGTTGAGGTTTCAGCCAAATTCCAAGGCACAGGGTCTCAGATAGTTCAGGCTCTGGTTTCAGGTCAACAGTCAAATCCTAAGCATCCAGCAAGGTTTGCCTCAGAGCAGTTATAAGTCAGCTTCTCCTTTAAGCATGTGAGAAGAACAGAGAAAACGTAACTGTGACCTATCTTGCCACAGTTTCTTCCACAGCAATGTCACAATCTCTGCACTATCAGGGTCTCACTCTCACTATGGTCTTGTTTCAGGCTCCCTCAAGTGCTGTTGCCACAAGCCTTGCTTTTCTCAAGTCTTGCTTTGTAATATGGGAAGCACTCTTTCTCTTATCCTAGTCCCACAGCTGTTTGTGATTTGCAAGATCATATATCTGCCATTAAGGTAGCTGGAAACCACTGTGGGAATAGACGGACAGACCTTTCTCCAGCAGGGCCACTGTGTGGATTCGTTTTCCAAATTTTGCTCAGCAACCGAGCACATCCCCCAGCACCACCACCAGGCATCCTGACCCCTCTCTATTTGTATTCACATCTGCATCTGTGGTGACATCCTGAGGCTGTTGGTGTTAATGGAGAGGAAACAGTCTTATTTCCCCACGGAGCCGCTGGTGGAGTAGAACTGTCAGTTTCAGGTCAGCATCCGAGTCTCCTCAACCCATATTTCACCTACTTCTCTGGTGTTCTATATGTCTGTGTCTCTCATGGCCACTATCTATGCATTTTCCCATCCATACGATGGGGAAAGTGACCCTGACTCAATAGACAAATGTTCTGTGAATGAGTCCTCACATGTCCCACACCGTATGTCCAGGTAAACTCTAGGAGTCAAAATCTAGCTCCCAGGTTAGCCCAGCCTTGAGCCCTTTCCTTCCCACCACTGGGCCCTGTGCACCTTCACTTCCATCGCAGAACAGGTAGCTAGCTGAGAGGATCAAGGTCAGGAGAAGCTTGGGGACCATGCTGGCGCTTCCTTGGGCCGAGAGGTATGCACTGGAGACTCTCTGGCCAGGTCTCTCTCTGGTGCAGACAGGGCCTGATAACACAGACACTCGACTGGGAACTGACTCCCTTTAAATAGGGCTGAGAGTTCAGCAGCCTGGGTACCAGCCCTTCCCTCAGGCCTGGTGGGTGGGTGGAGAAGGGTTCAGAATGTCTAGGGTAGTGGGGCAGAGGTCAGGAAGGGATAAGTGGGGACCCTGAGGCGTGTACTTCCCAGCAAGGTCAGTCCTTCCATCCTGCCTTCCAGGGCAAAAGCCTCAGGGAGGGAAAGGCAAAGCGTCAGGAGAGGCAGAAAGGAGGGAGATGAGAGAGACAGAGAGACAGCTACAGAGACAGCTTTGTTATTGCTGATGTTAAGTGTCTTAGAGTCAGTTCTGATTCATTAACAGCCCTGTGAATAATAGATCTGAACGCTGTCCTACCCTTTCTCATCATCCTCCACACGGGAGCCCAGTGCTGCAGATACTGTATCAATCCATCTCATTGAGGGTCTTCCTCTCTTTTGCTGACCCTCTATCTTTCCAAGCAAGATGTCCTTTTCTAAGAATTAGCCACTCCATACAACATATCCATAATATGTGCAATGAAGCATCACCATCTTTGACTCCAAGGAGCACTCAAGCTGTTCCTTCCTCAAGACCTTTCTCTTTGTTCTTTAACAGTCCATGGGATGTTCAGCACTCTTCTCCAGCACCACCACAATTGCATCAATTCTTCTATTGTCTGTATTCATTGGCCAGCTCTCAGCTGCATCACAGGTGATTGAGAAAACCGGGCTTCGAACAGGTGCATCTTAGTCTTTAAGTTGACATTATTGCTCTTCAAAACTTTGAAAAAGTCCCTGACAACAGACTTTCTCAATATTCTATGTCTCCCAGTCTCCTAACTGCTGGGACCAAGGGTGTTGACTGTGGATGCAAGTAAGATGAAATAGGGGGCAGTTTCAGTCTTTTCTCCATCTGTCATGATATTACCTACTGGTCCAGTAGTGAGGACGTTTGTTTTCACCATATGCTTGGGGGGTCCGTGCTCACTCACCCCACACAGTCCTCACTGCAGCTTCCCTCTCCACCTCCTTGTCCTGCCAACTCCCAACTCTGAAAGCTTCCGGGGATTCCAGGACAAAATTCCATGTGTGTCCAGCTCCTCACTGGGGGTTTCTGTGGCAGCCTGGGCAGGCTCTGCATTATGAAAGCCTCAGAATGTCCTGGGCATCCCCATCCTGGGAAAATCCCACAGGGCGAGGGCTGACCCCCAGCCTCGAGTTTTTTCATGATAGCTTGGAGCTGGGACGTGGCTGCCTAGTGGTGTGTCTTTATCCTTAAATGGGATTCCATGTGTGAATAATGTGCCTTGGTCCCTGGAAGGAGTCCTGGCAGTGAAGTGCCTCATGAGTGGGCTGCTAACCCAAAGGTCAGGGGTTTGAATTTACTAGCTGCTTCTTAACTGACAGGTGGGCAGTCTCCTCCCATCAGAGAGGTTACAGCCACAAAACCCTACGTGTCTCCTTGAACAGAGTCAGTGGGTTTGGGGCTGGTGTCTGGTTCCCGCTCTGTGGCCATCAATCATGGCAATGCGGAACTGCTATCTCTCTGTGTCCCTGCCTTTCTCTCCTCCCCTGAGTGTCTCCTAGTGTTCTGTCCTGTGTCTCTGGCTCTCTCCTCCCCCTTTTCTCTCTCTCTGCTGTGTCTCTCTTTCTCTTGACTCTCTCTGTCTCTACCCTGTCTCTTCATCTGTTTCTCCCTCTATATCTGTAGATCTTTCTACCTGTATATCCCTCTGTATCTCTATATTTCAGTCTCTCCATTGGTGTCTATCTGTATCCATGTATGTCTCCTGTCTGTGACTCTGTCTTTCTATCTCTCCCTTGTCTCTGAGCTCTATCTTTTTGTATATACATAGCTGTTTCAAGTCACAATACTGAGACGCTACGGGAAGAAACTTGACTGTTTCACGAAGCATCAAAAGAAGGTAGAAAGAATACATGAAGTCGCTGTACAATAAAGAAATGTGTGACACTAAAACATTTCAGAAAGCAGTATATGATAAAGAGCCAGTGGTGATGAAGGAGAAAGTTTAAGCTGTACTAAAGGCACGGGGTGGTGGGTGCAGGGGGGTAGGAAAGTTCGAGAAATCAATGGGACACCAATTGACATGTTCAAAATAATAGATGCAGCCCTTGATGTGCATACCAGTCTATGCTATAAAATTAGGAGAAAAACTACCTGACTGACTGGAAGACATCCCTATTTATTCCCATTTCCAAAAGTGATGATCCAACAGAATGTCTAAATTATATCAATATCACATGCAAGTAAAACATATCATTAATAACTGTATTATAACATCACATGAAAGCAAAACATTGTTGAAGATCATCCAAATATGGTTAGAACATTCCATTGACAGAGATCAGGCAGAAGATCAACCTGACTTGACCAGAGGCCACGACATCAGGGAGATCATTGTGGTACCAGGTGGGTCCTGCTGAAATGATGGACACCAGGAGAACAGCTGTTTGTGTTTTATAGACCATGGAAAGGCAATTGACTGTGTGGATCATAACAAACTGTGGCTAACATTGAGAAGAACAGAAATTTCAGAATATTTAATAATGTTTATATGAAATCTATTCCTAGACCAGAAGCTGTTGTCCAAACAGAGCAGGAGAACACTGCATGCTTTAAAATCAGGAAAGGTGTGCATAAGGGCTGTATCATTTCTCCAAATCTATTCAATCTGTATATTGAGTATTTTTTTTCCAGAAGCTGGACTAGTAGAAATGTCCCTGCAGGATTGTACTCATAATCCAAAATATTTGCAGAGAAAGATGGCTGAATCTTTGCACAAATCTGAATTATGTGATAATACATTAAAGGAAGTTAAAGCTGAAGGCAAGAAAAAGCCTTTGTCACCTTTAGAAAGAGTTCATCAAAAGGGAGATGTGATACCTGTTTCATTTGATCCCTATGTGATTTGATCTTAGTCGCTTTAAAAACAATACAGTCTAAAGAGGAGATGTCTGATAAATTAGAAGAAAAAAACCTCTTCAGAT